TCAGCGGCAAAAGCGCCTGCCTGGCAAGCGCAAGGTCGTGAGTTCAGTTCCCGGTACCGGAGAAAAACCAAAAAAAAAAAAAAAAAAAAAAAAACCTAAGCCAAAATAACAAGTGTGGACAAGGGTGGGCAGAAACTGGAATCTTTGCAGAGGTGGTGCACAATACAGTCTGCACTTCGGGAGACTGAGGCAGGAGGACTGCACACCACTTGGGCAACTTAGCAAGACACTCTCAAAATAAAGAATAAAAAGGGCTCAGGACGTAGCTAGAGCGAAGGTCCCGTATTCAATCTCCAATATGGGGGTGGGGGTTGGAACCCTTGTACGTGGTTGGCAGGGATACAGTGGTAGGGGCACTGCAGATGCTTCCTCAAAACATTAAAAATAGAATTACCTTAAGATCTACCAGTTGAACTTCTAGGTACACACCCAAAAGAACTGAAAATAGGGTCTCAAGGACATATTTTTACACCCATGTTTATAGCAGCTTTATTCACAATGATGAAAACGTGGAAGCACTTCCAGGATCCACTGCCTGATGAGTGGATAAACAAACGTATGCATTTGGGGAATGGAATGTTACTCAGCCTTAAAAAAGGAGATTCTGACATATGCTACAGCAGGGATGGAATTTAAGAACATTATGCTAAGTGAAATAAGCCAGTCACAGAGACATGGCTCTGCTCATATGAGATACTTTGAATAGTTAAGATCAGAGACAGAAAGTAGAAAGGTGGTGGGGCTGAGAGGAGGGAAGAAAGGAGAGTCACAGAATTCCAGTTTCACAAAACGGAAAGAGCTCCAGCGATGGGCAGTGTTCATAACGCGGATGTATCTCACATCAATGAAACGTACACTTTAAAATGGTTAAGATGGCAAATTCTTTGCTATATGTGTCTCACTGCAAAAATGGACAAAAATCCACAGAGGAGCAGATATTTCTCATTTTGCTTCAGGCCCCAGTGTGTCTTGGCATGCCTCTGTTGGATTTTGAAATTTGTTTCTTGTGGGACCTTTTTTGCATTAATCCTGATTTTTAAAAATTATTTCCTTGCTAGTTATCCCGCTTACTGAATTTTTTGGTCACAGCCCTACATTTTGCACGGGAAACGAGGACCTCACTTGACTCATCCTAATCCCCGCCGCACTTATGTCCTGGCTTCAAGAGCTTCCATGCCTCCTTATCACCTTCTGGAAAAAATTAAGCCCTCAGCCTAGCCCTGGGTACCTCCACTTCCGCTTGCCTGCCCTCCCCCGCTGAGCTCCTGTGGCCACGAGCCCACATTTCCAGGACTTACACACTCCGTTGTTCCTGCCAGAAGGCGCCTCGACCTCAGAACTCCCTCTTGATCCAAGGCTGTCCCAGTGTACGTTTCCCACAGCGACCAAGAGGCACACGTTGGCCCCGCACCCCAAGAGTACTCTCATCAAGTCCAGCCGGGCCCTCTCCCTTCTTCCCACTTCATGTCCAGCCTGGACATTTAATAAATGTCCAGGACTCACGGTAATTAATCCCCTCCCCCCAAGAAAGAACATCTGGGGTCTGGTGCAAAGGTTTATTGCTGAATCTGTGGACCTACGGGAAGTGTGGCTTGTGCTTTGCCAGATGGAAGTTCCTTGCCCCCAGCTGCCGCACAGCCCCGGCCCATGGGCATAAGCAGCAAAGACCCAGTGCTTGATGAGGAAGCAGGGAGCAGACGTAAACCCCTGTCCCTGACAGCTCAAGCTTGGCCCTCACTAAGGAACGGGCCCTGAATGGAGAGGGTGAAACTCCTGGCAGGGACAAGAAGAGTCTCTTGCGTTTGCCTGTAACCCACAGGAGGTAGATTCCTTTGGGAACAGCCTGGGCTCCAGCCTACTCTACACCTTCTGCCTGGGGCTGATCAATAGGAGCTGGACTCTGCCCCAGCCACCCCTCAGGGCAGCTTGACTATTGGGCACAGCTGACGTCAATAGTACCCTCCCTCAACACACCATCCACTTGGCCAGTCGTCCCAGAGTACTGTGTGCGGGTGGGTGAGGAGGGGCACAGACTGGGATCCAAGGACCGAGGGGCAAGATCTGGAGGGCGAAGAGGGGCATCCGAGACTGGTATTCAGAGGGAGGGTCCAGCTTGTGTCTCCCCTAACGTCTAGGGGTTCCCAGATCCACCTCCCCAGTCACTAATTTATCTGTGTGGGGGCTGCACAAACCAGAGCTAGCTTGGACTTTGGACCCTCGAAGCTATGGGGAGGGACAGTTGCTGGCCATGGGTAGGCAAATGTCAGACTTGTCACATGGAGGTGGCAGGGCTGGACCGGGCAGAGTGGGGGAGGGACAGACACTGCAAACCCTCTCTGCAGCTGGGGGAGGGAGGGCTACTTGGTGAACCCAGACCTACCAGGTGAGTCGGGCTCCAGGGGCAAGAGGACTGCAGGAGATTGGTCAGATGGCCACTGCTGAGTCACTGTGAGCTCCCGTGGCCTTGAGTCCTGCTGTGTCCTCGCTGGGGCTGACTACTATGGGTCGAAGAGGCCAGAGTAGCCAGCAGTGACGGGCACTGCTGGGCCAGAGGACAAGTGGGAGGGTCTGTGCCGAGAGGCTCAGGGCTCAGACGTTTGGGACTGCGTTTAGAGGGGCGGCAGGTGTGGGCCCAGGGGTCCTGGAGGGTTGATAGTGGCTGGGGCCTGGGGCTATGAGGCAGCTAGGGGTACAGCGTCTCAGGGCAAGGGACACGCAGGCGTTCAGGCACCTATAAGGAGGAAAGGGAACCAAGTAAGCACTCCTGAGACTCAGTCTAAGTAGGCTCAGGCATGGCGTGTGGGCCTTCTCGGGACGCTGGGACGCTTGGGCGTTTGGGGAGGGGTCAAAGGAGATTAAATGGGCGGGCCCTGGGAGGGGAGGGGCCTAGCCAGTGGGCGGAGCCCGAGGAGCTGGGTGGGGCCTGGAAGGCTGGGGTGGGGTCTTAAGGGTCATGGAGGGGGCGGAGTCTGCAGCAGAGCGCGGAATGAGGCACCGCGGCGGGGCTGGGCTTGCGGGCTCAGGGGAGGAGATGGGCGCCTCCTGCCCGCCAGGACCCCACCTCAGAAGAGGCCGCAGTCTTTGAGGTTCTCTTTGATGATGATGTCGGTGACAGCGTCGAAGACAAACTTGACGTTCTGCGTGTCCGTGGCGCACGTCATGTGGGAGTAGATCTCCTTCACGTCGCGCCGCATGTTGAGCTCCAGGAACTGCACCTTGATGTAGTTGCCCGCGTCCTCGTACGTGTTGGGCCCTGCGCAGAGCGGAGCAGAGCGGAGCGCGCTGGCTGGCGGCTGCAGCCCCCCGCCCCGCCCCGTGGCCGCCCGCCGGCCGGGCGCTCACCGTCGTAGTCTGGGAAGCAGATGCTGAGGTGCGCCTTCTTGATCTTCTCCGAGAAGACATCCTTCTTGTTGAGGAAGAGCACGATGGACGTGGTGGCGAAGTAGCGGTGGTTACAGATGCTGTTGAACAGGTGCAGGCTCTCGTGCATGCGGTTCTGGGGAGGACAGCGGCCGCTGAGCCTGGGGGCCGCGGTCTGCGACCCACCGCGCCGGCCCTGCTCCCGCCCTGGCCCGCGCCCCGCCTGCCCGGGCCCCGCGCGCCGCTCACCACTTCGTCGTCCTCCACAAGCACCATGTCGTAGGCGCTCAGCGCAGCGATGAAGATGATGCAGGTCACGCCCTCGAAACAGTGGATCCACTTCTTGCGCTCCGAGCGCTGCCCGCCCACGTCGAACATCCTGCGAGGCCTGGGCTTGAACCCGCGCCCTGCCCCGCGGGGCGCCCCTGCGTTCCCTCCCGCCTTTCCCCCTGCGCCGGGAGCTGGGCGGGGAGGAACCCCAGCACCCCCACGCCGCGCGGAAGGCGGCCGTACCGGAAGTTGAGGTCCTTGAAGGAGAACTGCGTCTCGATGATCCCGGTGGTCTTGACCCGCGAGCGCAGCACGTCCTGCTCGGTGGGCACGTAACCCGGGGTCACCAGGCGCTCCAGGTCCGAGAGGTAGCTGCAGAGAGCGCAGGGCGGGTGTCGGGGTGCGGCGCATGGGTGCGGCAGCCCCTCCCGCCCGGCCCGCCCCGCCCACGCGCTCACTAGCCCGCCGAGTCGTTGAGCTGGTACTCAGAGGCGCGATCGAAGCAGGCCTGGATGCCCGAGTCCTTCCACAGCCGCTGGATGATGTCTGACATCTCCTTGGGCATCGTGCCCTCCTCGATGGTGTCTGCCATGTGCATCAGCTTCCGGGCGTCGTCCTGGGGCAGGGTTGGAGCGGGAGGTGGTGACTGGGGGTCCGGGACAGCCAAGCGCGTCCGTCCTCGGGCCCCACCAGCCTGCCTGCTGGCGCACCTGGCGCGCTGAGTCTCCGTACTGGATGTTGAGCGTGGTCATGGCGCGCACGATGGCCAGGATGGACTGCAGCGTGTTGCCGTAGATGATGGCGATGAACTCCAGGCACTCCTCCAGGGAGTACCCGTCCTGGTGGATAATCCTGCGGCCAGAGCAGGCAGGGTCAGCTTGTGGGCCGGCGGAGCAGGGTGGAAGCACCCACCCCCAGGGCCCTCGGGAGGGACGGGGCACTCACTTCATCTGCTTGACGATGGTGCTCTTCCCGGACTCACCAGCACCTGAAACGGAAGCCGAGGGCCCCGCACTGACCGCTTGCCTCAACAGGGACGCAGGAGGATGAGCTGGCTGGTGGGCCCACAGCGTGGGCGTGGCGAGCTAGCCCCCTAGTGACTCCTGCCCTCACCCCAATCCAAAGAAAGGTCCCATAGGCAGGAGTGGTATTGCACCTCTGTAATCTCAGCTCTCTCGGAGGCTGAGGCAGGAGGATCAAAAGTTCGAGCCTAGCCTGGGCAATTTAGCAACTTAGCGAGACCCTGTCTCAAAATAAAAATTTTAAAAGGATGTAGTTCAGTGTGAAAGCTCTGGGTTCAACTCCCAATTAAAAAATAAAAAATAGGCCGGGTGTGATGGCACACCCCTATAATCCCAGCACTTGGGAGGCTGAGCCAGCTTGAACTGCATAGTGAGACTCTGTCTCAAAAAAAAAAAAAAAGGTCAGGAAAATGAGAAAAGATACTCTACTAGGGGAATCAGCGACCTCAACTGTGCCGGGGTGTGAAGGCGCAGAATCCCCAACACTAAAACACTGCTATAAGCAGCCTGTTAGAGGGTGCGGCCAAAATAAAGAGATCCTGGAGCGCTGCTTGGTGGTAATCTCTGGTACTACATGCACAGGATTATTTGCAGTAGGACAAGCCGTGCTTTTCTCCTGAAGGCAGGAAGACACCCAGAGGCTCAGAGGGAATTAGCGCTTGTGAGCGCGACAGAACCAACGTCCCTTCTGAGCCTGTGCCAGCAAGGATGTTGGGGACAGTTAATGGGATTTCCGGTTTAGCTCTCAGCTCTCCTGCGCTCGCCCCTGGTTTAGTCCCTCTGCCCCACCCTCTTATCAGCCCAGAAGTGGCTCTTAGAGTGGAAGCCTCTTTTTTTTTTTTTTTTTTTTTTTTAGAAGACAACTTTCCAAACTGGAAATTACTTTTTAAAAGCACATCAAATCAAAGACCTTGTTTTTTTTTTTTTTTTAAACCGGGAATCGAACTCAGGACCTTGCGCTTCCCAAGCAAGGCGCTGTGCCGCTGAGCTATATCCCCGGACCGGCCCCACCCTCTTAAAGCAGCTCCTTGCCCCTGCAGGCCCAGCGGGCCCCTGAGGCAGGCTTAGGTCTGCTGGACCATGGAATCAGCTTTAGAATCCACACAGGCCTGATACCTTCAACACCTTCCCACCCGCATTAGCAGCATTACAGGTCTGCCACCAGTGACGAGCTGGCACCTAGGGCCACTGTGGCTCTGGGTGGTTCCAGAGGCGCCCTGCTCCCAGCAGGAATATGACCTTAGCATGAGGGAGCCCGGCCAAGGCGCGTGTGCTTGGCACACAGGCCCAACAAGGGGTGCTACCCTCTGGAGTTGCCCATGGGACGCTTGGCCGTGGGAACCTGGGACATCACCTGGCAGGCTTGGCCTTGCCTGATTCCCACTTTGCACAGGCCCCTGCCACAGTGCCACTTTTTCCCAAGGAGCCCCTCTGTCCCTGAGGCCCGGAACCCGGCACAGTTCCCGCGGCCCACACCCCTACCCAGAAGCAGCAGTTTCACTGTCCGAGCGTCCTTCTCAGCATCCTCTTTCAGCTTCTTCTCCAGCTCCCTGGAATGCTTCTCCTCGGCACTAGCCCCAGCCCCCATGGTCCCAGCAGCAAGTGAGGGACAGGCCGAGCAGGTGGCTCTTCTGGACAGAGGGGATCCTGCGAGCCTGGCTCTCCACGGACCTGCACAGGCCCTGGTGGGGCTGCTTAGTGGGATTTGGGAGCTAGAGCTGCCCAAGGGCCAATCAGAGACAAGGACAGGTGAAGCCAGCTCAGCCCCCCAACCCTTCTAAGGCTGGCATGGCCCCAATCCCTCAAGTGCTGACCCTGCATTCTCCCCGCCGCCGCCGCCCTGGCAGAGGCACTCGGTAGTCCTTTCCCTGCCCCACAGCAAGGAAACACGTTTGGTAGAGTTTGGGCTAAAAGGACAGGCCCTCAGCTCAGGGTGGGGACCTTGGGGTGGGGCTGCGGCTGGGGGTGTGGGGGGAGAAGCAGGCACGCTGCACCTGAGCCTGCCCAGGGCCACCCCTTGTCCTGCTGGGAGCTCCCAGGGCCCCAGGGGATGGGTGCCCACATCTCCCACCCGCTGCACTGATGAGGAAGCGGGGCTCACAGGGTCACACAGCAGCCCGTGGAGAAGGGCTGCCTGGCTCCGCACCAGGGTTTCCGGCCGTGTCGGGAAGCACGGGGGGAGCAGTTGATCACACCTGCCGTGTGTCAGGGCTGCGTCTGATAGCAGCACGGCCTCCACGTGCCCCCAGGGACGCTGGTGACCACGTACATCTGCTCTGTGTGCCTGAGTGTTTCTGTCTCTTACCGGCACTGAGCAAGGTAATGTTTTGACACATTTGTGCCTTTGTGTACGGGTCCTTGTTTGTATGATTTTGAGTGTAGTCTTTTTTTTTTTTTTTTGAGACAGGTTCTCACTAGGCAGTTCAGGCTGGCCTTGAGCTCACGTTGTAGCCCGGGCTGGCCTCGAACTCAGAGCGATCCTCCTGCCTCAGCTTCCCAAGTGCTGAGATTACAGGCGTGCGCCACCACGCCTGGCCTTTGAGTGTGGTCTTAACACGTGAGTGTTCATGTACCTCGTATGGATGTTTTTGTGTGCACACGTATATACACACACATGTGTACAGATTTGCTTTTGTTTATACTTTTTTGTGGTGCTGGGAATGGAACCCAGGGCCTCACACATGCTAGACATATTCACGACCACTGAGCTACCTCCTCCGGCCTCCGATGCATTTCTTTACGTGTGCTTATGTGTAATATTTTGTCTGTGTGGGCTCATATGTGTGCTTGTATGTGCAAACGTACATACATGTGCAGTGCATGTTTGGGTGCCCTTGCCCAGCTGCATGTCTGAGCACACCAAGCGCATGCGAGTGTACACAGTGCCCTGTGCCAGCCTGTGCCTACATGTGCAGACGTGTTTGGTGCAGCAGTCACTGCTGCAGAAGCGGCTGGGTGCTTCCATCCACTCTCCTGCAGGCCTGTCGTCAGGTGGGAATCCGCCTCCCAGGGCAGGCTGGTGCCCCCTCAAGCCTGCAGAAGTGTCTTGTTGGTGCCCTGGGACCTACCCAGCGTTCCTCAGAACCTGCCTGCTCAGCTTAAGGTTCAGAGCCCTGCTGAGGTGCAACCTGGTTTTGAAGGGGTTCAGGAGCACCTGTGGGGCCAAGCTCCAACTCCAGGGGTTCTGCACCCGCTCCCCTCAGAAGTCCAGCGGGTCTCTCCAGGGACTCTGGGGGGAGCCGCCCTCCCCGCATCCCCGGGACTCCTTTCCTTAACCTGGCTGCCTTTGAGTACGCAACTCTGCCAGGCTCAGAAGACCTCCAGGGGGTGCCAGGGCCCCAGACACAGCCCGGAGGCTGACACGGGGAAGTGGAGCGGCGTGTCCAATAGAGCAGCTCTGACATCCACGCTGTTGGGTCAGAGAGGATTTGTCCAGGAGCCAGACTGTTTCCCTTGCCCCCTCCAGCCTCTGGGCTCCCGTGCCCCTCACCCCTGCTTGGTAAGTGGGCGCTGGGGTCTCTGTCGCTCTTCAGGCTTCCTGGGAGTCAGCGGAGTGCAGAAGCCAAGCCTTGTTAAGCCAGAACTTGTTCTTTTGTCCTCGTTGCGTTTTTTATTTTTCTAAGCGGTGCCGATCCACTGCCTCGGCTCCCCACACCCCCTGATTGGCCCCAACTCCTCCCCCAACCCCATCCCCAAGGACAGAAGCCAAAGTCTAGTCCCAGAGCCAGTGTTTATTAGCAAGATGGAACCCAAGGACGGCTGTGGCCTGGGCAGCAGAGGGCCACCGGGCACCCTACCCATCTCCCCAAATGCCCCCAGAGCTATTTACACCCAGCACCTGCCGTGGGGGGAGACGGGAGCCTCGGGAGCCCCTGCAGGCCCCAGGCCTCCACCGTGGCCCTCTCCCCTCAGGGCTAGGGCCCCCCCTCAGCCCTGTTGCACCTGGCCCCAGTGCCGCTCCCCAGCCTCCACGTCAAGGAGGGGCAGGGAACGCTAAGGAGGTAGAGTGGGGCAGCCCTGCCGCGGCTGGCAGGGAGAAGGCTGGCGGCCTCGTCCCTGTAGGCAGGACTCTTCTCCTGTCCCCAATAAATACAGAATAAATACCTGGGAAGGGCTGGCCTTAAATAAACGCCCCGACCCAGGCAGGGGGCCAGCGTCCTGTGACGGCCCCTTCTTCCCTTCTGAGTGCCCTGAGCCCCACCCCAAGACTCCAACACAGTCCCGGCATCCAGGCCGACACCACAGCAGGCTGACGGCGCACACTGGCAAAGGTCCACGGCCTGCCGAGTAGCACTCACGCCCGCCCTGTGTGCTGCAGATCTTGCAGCTGGCCTTCGAGCAAGCAGACTTTCGGCTGAGCCCGGGGACCGTGTGGTCCTGGCCCGGCCCAGCCAACTCGCTGGGACTGGTTAGGTGGGCTCCGTTTTCTGCCATCGCTGACCAGCATGGGTCTAGATCCTGGAAGATGCTGCCGGTGAGGCAAGCTATATACAACCCACCAATAAATACTGTCTTTGTGGGGGCAGGGTGTGTATAGAATATAGATTTTTTTATATTTATATATATAGGCCATTAAGTTGCCTCTCTCTCTCTTTCTCTGTCTCTCTTGCTCTCCTTATATTTATATATATATATATATATATCTTTTATATTAAAAGGGATGAGGGCTAGGCTGGTCCAGTGCAGGGCTCAGGCAGCTGGCCTCATGTGTCCGGAGGGTGGTGCCGGCGGTTCCGGGGCTTTTTCTGGTCCTGGGGTTCAGGAGGCCTGAGGGCCCCGGGGGCCTCTCGGGGACTGGGGGGCACGTGACGCCAGTAACCCTGACAGTACTGGTGGATGAGGCCCACTTCAGGCTGGGCCAGCAGCTGGGCCAGCTCCTGGTACGGAGGTGTGGGGGGGCCTGTGCCCGGAGGCGGCGGGGCGCTCACAGCCAGCAGGGGGAAGAGGGCAGCATGGACAGCATCCCGGCCCAGGATGTGCAGCTGCACCCGAGTGACGACGTGCTTGAAGTTGTTCTCAGTGGCCGTGCAGGAGTAGAGGCCGCGATCGCTGAGCTGCAGGGCGCGGAGCAGCAAGCCCTGCTCTGTGCGCAGGAAGCGCTCCTCCGCTCGGATCTGCAGGGGCAGGGTGGGGGCTCAGGGGCTGTGTGACCCCTCTGCTGCCCCCGCCAGCAGCCAGACGAGGCCACTTCGGTGGGGTACCACACATGGAATTTATATATCCCTCCCCCAAAAGACCACGTGCAGTTTCCACTAATGAGGTAACTGAAGGAGGTATCCACAGGTTTCCGCTTCGAGAGGGATGGCCCTAAAGGGTGCTGTTCAATGAATGAGAGAATTTTGGAACACACACATAGAATTTTCATTTAATGAGAACACCCAACTGTGGCCCCGCACAGAATTCCCACGTAAAGGGGGCACCTGTAAGGCTTTTCCACAAACGAGGGCTAGCCACAGAATTCCCGTCCACGGAAGCTCAACCACGTGACGTCCCATACAAGGCGTGCACTCCAGTGGGTGCACACGTGGGATTTTCACAAAAACAGGCATATCCGGAAATGGTTTCTGTATGGCAAGACCTGTTCCGCAGAGTTTCTACCTAACGAGTTCTGCTCAATTGACTTCCACATAGGGAAGGGAGCTCGAAAGGTTTCACAGAGTGAGGACGGCCCCGTATCGGGTGCTACACTGCCTCCACCCGCACTGAATTTCCACTGTGCCAGGGACTCACCTCTCGGCGCCGGTCAGCAGGATCTCGCTGGAAGAGCCATTTCACGGTGGCTTGCGGTGAGCGGGGCTGGCACTCCAGGAAGGCCGTGCTGCCCGCCACGCCATACTGCACAGACTCTACGGCATTCTTGTTGGCTGCGGATCAGGAGGACACTGAGTGGAAGCAACAACACCCGGAACGACCCCGTCTGGTGAGGGGCAGGCACCAAGGGGCTCTCACCCACAAGGGCAGAGTGCTGCCACTGGGCATCACCCCTGCAGGACCGGCCAGCAACAGCACGACTGGAACTCCAGGAGCCCTTACTCCCCACCCAGCACCTTTAAGGCTCAGAGTTGGGGGGTAGCGAGCAGCCACATGGGCACCCGGGGCACCACAGAAGTTCAAGGAGCACCGGAGGGGGGCAGGGCACACGTACCATTAGAGTTGAACCCACGGCACTGCCTGATGGGGTTCCCATGCCGGACGTCCTGCCGGCGGCTCCGCCTGGGTGAGAGTAACTCCTGAAGGTGTGCTCCCAAGAAGTATGCCCCAGGTCCCTGCACCCCCAAGAATCCAGGGCAGGGCCCTGTGTCCCCAGAGCTGTGATGCCCGTAGATATCCCCAAGTCATACCACACCCATCTTCAAACCCCCACAGGGCCTAAAACCCCAAGGGTCTGGGGTTCATAAACTTTTTTTTTTTTGCGGTGCTGGGGATTGAACGTAGGGCCTTCCACATACTAGGAAAGTGCTCTAACACTAAGCTCCACCCTCAGCCCTGGGGTTATACCTTTTGGAAGACACTGTGTAGCGGGAGCAGGCCTGGCCATCCCAGGCACAGTAGGGGTCCCTGGCGAGACAGCAGTCGGCACAGGCAGCCCCATACGCATGGCAGCGGTGCAGGCTCAGGTGTGTGACACCCACAGCGGAGGCCACGTACAGTTGTTGCTGAGGGCAGGGGCAAAGGCTTGTCAGTCCCTTTCCCACAGATAGCCTACATAGAAGCTAGGTGGGTTAGGCTCCGGCTCTTCTCTTTTTCTTTTTTTTCTTTGGTGGTACCAGAGATGGGACCCAGGGCATGCTAGGCAAACACTCTACCACTGAGCTATACCCTAGTACCCTTTCCTTAAAAATTCGTTTTGAGACAGGGTCTTGCTGAGTTGTCTGATCTGGCCTTGAACTTACGACCCTCCTGCCTCAGCTTCCAAAGTGTCTGGGATTACAGGTAACAACACGCCCAGCTTCCTTCTCTTCCTTGTTCAATGCTTAATTACCCCACCCTCGTGCCGAGGGTATGACTTCAAGGAGACTCTACCATCACCCCAAGCCCATGTTACCAGACTCACCCTCTTGGAAGAGATGGTCATGGTCTTAACAGGTGCTGGATCCTAGAAGACAAAGATCAGCCTGGGACTCCCTCTCTGCCCGGACCTGGAGGTCTAAGGTCAGGGGCTGGGACCGGGGAGGGTCAGGATGGGCAGAAAGGACTGGGTGGTTCTGACGCACCTTGAAGACTGCCACCTCCTCCAGCATGAGCTCCTCTACCTCCTGGTCATCCTTGGGCAGCACGATGACCTTCTGCACTGTCCCGCGGTCTGGAACGGGCCGGGCAGGACCTCAGTGGGGCTGGGGACACTGGGGAAGGGGCAAAGCCTCAGCCCCTTCCCCAGCAGGGCCCCAACCCCCCTCGGGCCGTGGAGCAGAAGTTCTGTTCCAAGGCTGAAGGGTTTTCCAGAGACAGGGAAGAGGTCAGGAGACTGGCCCAGGACAGAGGATCCTGGCCAGGGTCCGCCCCACCCAGACCATCAGCACACGCGGGCACGGCTCTTGTCAGGAGCTGCTGGAACTGTGCTAGGTGTACTTCCGTGTGTGCGTGCGCATGCCAGCGCGGGTGCCAGGATGCAGGTCCAGGCACTCTGCAAGCCTGTCTCTGCCCCTTCCTGTCACACAAGGGCTTCCACGTTTGCTGGTGTCTCTGGCCTTCTGGCCTCGGACACAGGGAAGCAGATGGGGTTTTGCTCCCCGTGGCCTCACCGTCCTGGCTGAAAAGAGGCTCCCAAAGATGCAGCGACAGAGCTTATCAGCATAAACCTACAGCAACCCCACGGGTCAGGTCACAGCCCCAGGCATCAGCACCTCCCACCCAGTGGGCCCAGTGGAGGGGGAGCAGCAGCGGGTACCTGTGCCCAGGAAAAGCACCTCATAGCGCCCGTCAGCTGCATCCACCTGGTCTACGGCAACAGTGGTGAGTCGGTAGGGGGCACCAGTGCGGACCACCAGGGGGCGCCGCTGCAGAGGGTACACGGCCTGGTACATGAGCGGGTGGCTGCGCATGAAGTTGATCACCTCGTCAGGATAGTCCTTGGTGGATTTCATGGAGGGCGTGAAGGTTCCCCCGGGGCACTGCAAGTGGGGTGAGTGTCAGCCTCAGGCATCCAGGGCAGGCACGGGCGTCACTGCAGCTCAGGAGCAGCCTCCGTCCTGCCTGGCCCCACCCGCTCTACCTGGTTCTTCCTCCAAGCCCCTCTCCTCCTTTCTGCCCAACCCCGCAGGGCAGAGCCGTAGAGCTCCCTGCAGGTCCAGTTCCCAAGGCCCCAGGCGGCCAGATCCCAGGGCTGCTCCTAGGCCTCATGCGCCACAGCCCTGTGGCAGCGTCTGGCTGTGGGGAGCGCTCCCTTCCTCGGTCCGCGCCGCACTGTCTCCTGCTCTGCTGTCCCTGTCTCTCCACTCTCCTTGAACAGCTGGGCTGCAGGCCTGAAGTCCTCGTGACACACAGGCACGCTCTGCCCTTCCCCGAGGCTGGTCCCTGTGCCCAGGGTGAAGCCTAACCCCGCCATCCATCGGCTCCAAGGTCACTTCAGGGCACAGCTTTCCCTGAGCCCTTGGAGACCTGCTTTCCCCCCGACCCCCGAGTCACACCTGCTGCTGCTTCAGAGCAGATCGCGCCCGAACTCTCCTTAGACTCCAAGGAGGCCCCAGTCACACCAAGGTCAGGCGCGACGCCTCCCATAGCCCCTGCAGACGCTGCGGTCCCGGCCTTACCCACTCCCCACCCGCCTGTGTCCATTTTTAGCCAGCCACGCGACCACCCCCTTGCCACCGGCTTCTGCCTTCCAGATTCCCCCCACCAAGCTTCAGCTCCCAAGCAGCCCCCCGAAGGGCCCTCCACGGAGCAGCCCACCACGCCCAGCCCCGCGTGTGTTCTGGGGTTTCGGCTGGCTGGGGGTGAACGGTGGGTTTCTGAGCTGGTGTAACGCGCTGCCCCACTGCTGCAGGGTCTGATGGTACAGCCATGTCTGCAGAGGGTCTGGCCCAGAGCAGGCCTCAGGGGACAAAAGGGAGAGGGAGGAGAGGAGGGTGCTTACTGTGCCAGGCCGGGGGTACGGCATCTTCCCCGAGAAGGGCATCCACTGGTAGTTAGGGCCCTCCTTGTGGGCAAAGGGTCCGTTGAAGACCATGCGAATGTCAGCCATCGAGTAGACGCACACAGCAGAGCCTCGGAAGACGGAGCTACGAACAGGACAGTTTGCTGCTGCCGCCAAGGGACCGCCTCGGCCCGGGGCCCTCCCCTGCCTGCTCCCGGCCCCAGAGCTCAGCACAGGCTGCACTCGCCACAGGCGGAGCCCCAGCCCAGCCCACCCTGCCACTGCTGGCCCAGACCCCAGTCTCACCCCGAGGAGGTAAAGACAGCATAAATGACGGGGTTCCTCACATCCTGGGTCTGCTGGACAAACACATCCTCTGAGGACACAGAAAGGAGGTTCCGGGAAGGCGTCAGGCAGGCAGGTGCCCCTGGGCCCTGGACTATTCCGCCCAGGGGATGGGGACCCACCAGAGGCCACCTGGTGGCCTCTCATCCAGCCTCGGTCACTCCCACTACAGCCACGGGGCCTGCCTGCCGGGTGGGCACTCACGGAGCTCATCGAAGTGGGTCTCAATGCCATCCTCGCCTGGCACGGAGCAGACGAGCCGCGCCTTCAGGAATGTGCTCCATTTGTTGACCAGGCAGCAGTGACCGCCATCATCGTTCTGGGGGTGGGAGCAGGAGGTTAGCTCAGCTCACTCACCCACAAGACCCTGCTGGAGCAGGGGGGACAGTCAGGGCTGGGCCGTGAGAGGGGCAGTGGGGGCCTTGGGGACGTGTACCAGGCAGATGCGCCCAATTCGGGCGTACACAGCGGGGCTCTGCGTGGTCTCCGCCGACCGCTCCCGGAAGAAGAAGTATAGCTTGTCATCGTTGCGCTCCGCGCTGTCAGGGATGAGCTCCGCGTGGATGAAGGAAGGGTCTGCGGATGAGCAGGGCTCAGTGGGAGGAGCTCCTCCTCCGCATCTTGTTCCCCGACTGAATCCCCAGCCATGTAGAAGAACATCCCCAACCTTTCTCCAAACAAGGAACCACTTCCACCCCAGTGAGTCATGGGCCAAAAACTCTCCCCGGTGTGCTTCCAGAGGATTTCCCAGCCCCATCCCGGACACACAGCCCCCTGAAGGCCTCAGGGACTACAGGTACCATTGAGCCACCGGGAGTTGTACTGGTCTGTGCGCATGGCTGTCTGCTTTCCAAGTGTGCGGAAGATGGCTGCGTCTGTGCCCATAAAATCAATGTACACGCCGGCGTAGAGCTCTTCGTCTGTGGGGGAGGGGGCGGCGGTGTTTATTAGGACAGGTCACAGCCCCAGCGACCCCCAGACAAAGTCAGGCTTCCCAGGATAGATCCTATCTCCGTCGGGTGCTGGTAAATGTTTAGCAGCTGGCTCTGGGAGGGCCAAGAGCAGCAGCAATGATCTCTGATTAGTAGCAACAGCCAATTTCTGTGACATGAATATGGCTGGTCTTAAGCTGCTAATCTGAGGTCACTGTAAGCACGGCTGGGAAGAGCCACCAACATCACCGCACAGTATGACAGTATTCCTACCCACAGACCCAACAGACATAAATAACTGCACGAGTTTAGACTTTTAAAAATGTAGTAAAATAGCTGGGCGTGGTGGTGCACACCTGTCATCCCAGCAAGTGGGAGACTGAGGCAGGAGGATCACTGTGAGTTCAAGGCCAGCTGTGTCAGATACGGCCCCTCACCACCAAAAGTAGTAAAACAATAAAGTAGTGAGTTTTGAGTATGTTACTTTTTGTTGTTACCTTTGTTTCAGTATAATTTATTTAACTGAATGGTAAGATTTATTTTTGTGGTCCTAGGGGTTCAACCCAGGATCTTCACACTGAGCTACATCCCCAGCTCTTTTAAAATTTTGGGCCAGGGTCTTCCTGAATCATTGCATTGCCCAGCCTGGGATTGAATTTGCAATCCTCCCGTCTCAGCCTCCCGAAGTCCTGAGATTATAGGTTTGCACCAATACACACATCTTATAATTTAAATTTTAATCATCCACGTTGAACAACTGACTCACAAAATTCCTGACAACATAAGCGCTAAGTGAGCTGCCTCTAGCGTAATACTTCTTTTCTTCTCTCTGAAACTCGCCAGGGTGCCCCACTGTCTTCCCCCATCAGACTCCCTGATCTGGACTCTGCTATCAGGATAGAACTTCTCTGCCAAGAGGATAAGGCCTGTACCCTGCCCCAGGGCCCTTTCCTAGGCTGGCGGGTGGTACAGTGCCCAGCAGTTGCTCTGCGATGCAGACTGGGTTGGACTCCCCGAAAGCAGGCAGAGTGCCTGGGCCAGGGTCAGGCTCCTCAGCCTGGGGACGGGCAGCAGCTGCTACCACTTTCTTGGAGAAAAGCCCCGGCCCTCCCAGACATCCACCTAATCCATCTACACTCAGCCCCTAGCCGGTCACAGGGCCAGAGGTCCCCACTGGCCCTTCCGTGTGCAGCTCTCCTAGGCTTTCAGATGCAGGGAAGAGGGGCGCAGGGACCCCTGTGCCACTCCTCTTCTCCTCCAGGTAGCCTGTGGGCCAGGGGCTCCTGAGCTCTGCACGGGTTACACCTTGTGTTGCGGGGACCACCTGGCCCGCTCAGTGCCTCACCGGAGGGGCTGCATGCTGGGGAGGGCCCGCCAGGGCTGCGGGGCAGCCTGGCGCATCGGTGGTGCTTCCCCAACTGCTGCGGCAGAGGCCACACATTCCAACTAGAAAGGGGGAGGGCGGGGGCACTCACTGATGAGGGCTGAGGCTGTGTCCAGCTTGGGGTCGTACGGACACTTGCCCTTCCCTGACTCGAGTCTCTCAGGCTCCAGGTAGAAGATGTAATCCTGCAGGGCAGAGGGGGCTCAGCATTGTCCAGGCCAGTCCCACAGCCAGGGACAGGGACAGGTCACCAGGCTCCGGGGCAAGAGCAAGCCCCAGGGACACCCTGAGCCCACCCCCTGCACTCCCAGGGTCCTCAGGCTTGAACTGCAGCCAGGTCTCTTCATGCAGTCTCAGGCCTCGGGGAAGACCTGGGAATCAAGGCTCAGGACCAGGAGATGTGCACAGGGTGGGCCTGCAGTGGCTAAAGGCCTTCCACGCCAACTGGCTCAGGAAGATGCTGACCAAGCGTCCTTTGGGTCAGAGAGGCCGACGCTTTGAGCTGTGGCTCACTATCTTAGGCCAAGGAGGGGCTATGAAGCTGGTCACAGCAGGAGGCACAGGTCAAGGGCCTAGGGTGCTTTCTTTGCCATCAGGTAAAACAGGCCAGAGCACTCCAAGATTGCTGTCCCCGGGCTTTGCGCCCTACCTGTGGTCCTCAGGATGGGGCCTTCTTGCCCCTCGGCAGAGCCCCCAGGGTGCGTGTCTCCCCAGGCCCAGGGGCTGGGGGATCTGCCCAGACCACACAGAACTCACAAAGCCCCCTGCGCCTCCCAGCCCAGCTCAGAAGATGAGCTAGGAGGAAGATCGCGATGGCACTGGGACCGGGATGAGCTCACGGGCCTGGCAGGAAAGGCAGGGAGAGGGGAGGGGAACGGGGAGGAGAGGCACAGAGAGAGGAGCGGGCAGCAGGTGGCAGGATGGCGATGGGAAGGTACACACAGGCCTGCTTCCAGTTACACTGCACACGGCTTCCTGCACATACAGCTCAGCACAAAGCACTGCCAACACACGGAACTCACCGCTCACACCCTGACACACACACTGGATCTGAGCGACCGCTCCTCACACTCCCCGCTGCGCACACGCGTGCACACACGCTGTCACTCACCGGCAGCCCCTGCCACCCCCGCCCGTCCCCGCCCAGCCCAGATCTGGGTCCTGACTGCTACACAGATGCCACCCCAAAAGAGAGCACACAAGTGCGCAAGACACGGGGTAGCCCACAGGAGGCACAGGCCGACTACAGGCACATGCCGCGTTCCCACTCCAGATGCTGAGTAGGGCCTGCCCGAGGGCACGCTGCCGGGCGCCTGTGTCTCCACACGTGCGTTCTGCGAGCAGAGGCGCAGGCTCCCTGGGCCCCCGTCTTCCTCATCTGCTGACCCGACTTCTTGCCCGCAGGGGTCATACTGAGGCTGACAAGAATCCAGCTGGGCTGCCTGGAGAGCCTGAGGGCACTCAGAGAAGGACGGGAATCAGCCCCTGGTGGGCTGGCCTGGGGCACAGGCCCAGGGCGAGTGGAGCCGAGGCCACGCTGCCTGGCAAAGCCTGAAGAGATGAGGCCCACCTGGCGTGGGGCTGTGGGCATCGGGTGGACGGCACCATCTGTGGCTCTGCTGCCGCGGCCTCTGACCACCTGCGCCTGGGTCCATGGCAGGGCCTGAGAAGACGAGGAACAGGGGGTGACAGGGGCTGGGGGAGCAGGCTCGGGCTGCCAGACTCTCACACCACACAGGCCAGGAACACACGTGAGCACATGGGTCCGATACACACGTATATGCACGTATGTGTGCGCGCGCACACACAGGCTCAGCACACCCCTGCACACACTTGTCTCTTAGTTCCAGTCACTCTCACACACGCCTACGAGGTCTCACCAGCTCACACACATGCCCACATGGAAATGGAAAGGCGGAAGCAGGCAGGGTGGAGCAGAGCTGGGGAAGGGAGAGCTCCCCATAACCCTCCCCTAGCCCCTGACCCGGAGGAGGAAGGCGGCCCTCCTCGGGCCACAAGGCAGAGGCTGACTCGGGCATCAAGCTCCTGATGCTGAGACCCCCACCGGGCCCCCTGGCTTGGCTGCAGGGCATGGTCCACAGGCACGGGTGAGAGAACCACTGCCACAGAGGGGTGAATGCTTACTATGTGCCAGGCACAGTGCTAAGAGCTTGGGAGCACCCGCTCACCGCCTCCTCACACCAACCTGTGAGAAAGGCAGCCGTGAGCCCCAGGTTTGGGGGAAGAAACGGAGGCTAGGGAGTTAAACAGGCCACTCACCCCATTCACAGGGCTCAGAAGCGGCAGGGTCGGGGCTCATGCCCATCCTTCCATCGGGGCCCTGGAAGGCAGCCACCAGTGGGGATGGCACAGGCCGGGGTGAGCTGGGGCTTACCTGTGCACGGCGGCCGCGGTTCACATAGGTGCACATGGGGTTATAGGCTCCCGTGCCGCACACATACAGGTGGGTTCGGTTCCAGGGCTGGATGAGCCTGATGAAGTTCCCACACTCACCCTGGAGCAGAGAGAACGCTGCACAGGTGCCCAGATGCCCGGCCAGCCCCGCCCCCACAAGGGACCTGCTCCACCCCACCTGCAGACCCCACCACACTCACGTTGCCATCTTTGCCCGAGAGCACACACTCCTCAATGCGCTGCGGGGAGGCTGCCCAGTGGATCTGCAGGGATGGGGAGTCACAGGCTGCAGCTCACTGGACGGGCCTCAGTCCTGGGCCCTGGGCCCCACCCCTGGGTGCCCCTCCGGGCCTGCCCTTACAATGAGGGGCTCACGGTTGATGTCATGCAGGTCCAGGGACAGCACGTAGTCCTTGCTGCCCACATACATGCGGTCGTGGTCCTCATCCTTGAACAGGATACGGTAGTCGGTGGTATTGAGCAGGAAGTTGAAGAAGTGGGCAGTGCCTGTGGACTTGAGCTCTGTGGGCGAAGAGCAGGGCACCGCCAGTCAGGACCCACGGAGACCACGCAGCTCTCACCCTTGTGCAGAGCCCTGAGGTTCCCCCCGCTACACGTCTTTAGGCTCTAGCTTCCTCTCCAGGGTCCTGACAGGTGAGCAGGCCAAGGAAGAGGCCACACCCAAAGCCAGACCCTGACTCACCGCTGGCCTGTCAGTCCTGATGAAAGGGCAGGGGTACAGGCCAGCGTCTGTCAGCATCAAAGTCTTTGCTCAGAAGGGGGTTAATCTCCCACACCTGGGGTGGGGCCAGCTTCCCACAGGAGCCCAAAGGGTTAATGAGCAGGTGACAGCCTGCGGATGCTGTGCGTGGCCCAGACGCCCTGTCCTCGCCCTGGCGGCCCGTCAGGCAGAAGGCACAGCTGGTGCATGGTGCACGGCGCATGGTCTGAGGAGCCCGTGAGGACACCGGAGAGCCCGAGGGAGTCGCGCTGCCCTACACACCCCCAGCTTTGCCCGGACCCCACAGGCTGCTACGGGAGGACCTCAAAGGCCACCGTGAACCAGCCAGGAGTCATCTGTGGGAAGGAGCTCTCCCCTGTGCTGGGGTCCCCAGGGCAGAGGCAAGGTTCTCTTCTGCAGGCGTCCAACAGCCTTGGCCCTCACCCCAGGACACCAGGGAAAGTCCTTCTTCCTAAGGATGAGGAATAGGAGGGAGCTCAGCCATTGATGAGTCAGAGGGCTTGACACGGGACTCCAGGGAGCCTGGGAATCTGCTCTGGGGGAGCTGAGAGGGTCTCTCCGGCAAACCCCTCCCCCATCCATGCCCAGCTATTTTTAGCTCAGGAGAGAGAACACTTGGATGAGGCTGATGAATATTCACACGCACGGGGGGAGGGGGCAGGTGGCAGCGCACAACAGCACGTGCATGTGTGTACACCTGGTACAGGTGCACACACACGCTCTGCAGCGGGCAAGGTGCTCACCGAGGGGTGACACCCGCCCTCACAGCTGGTGTGACCCACTTCACAGGGCAGGTAATCGAGGGGGAGGCCTGAAGCAGGCCCCAAGGCACCTGGAGGAAGGGAACAGCTGTGAGTCAAGGCTCTGCACACAGCTGAAGGTAGCACCAGCAGGTGGCTGTCACTGGCTGGCCTGGTGACCCTGACTCCAACTGGTGCAGCAGGGACCCTGGGATGGGCTGGTGAGGCTATGCTTGGGAGCAGCTTCAGATAAAAGCTCTGGGATGTGCCGGGCTGGGCTGGGCATGTGGGTAGGCAGCGCGGGCTGAGGGCCAGGGAGTCAATGCTGATTTAATGCACATGTCTGGTACCAGGAACTCACCCTTTGGGGCCGGGGTTCAAGGCCAGGCCTTGCCCTGCCCAGACATGACCATGCACCCACAAGGGAATACAGGTGATGACCTTGGCCAGCCACGGGTCACAGGGACGCCGGGACGCCGAGGGATCAAAAGGCGGATCGCTGCCAGGCTATGGCCTCACCCGCCTGTCCGGCGGCGCCTTTGAAGTCCTGGGCAGGGCAGCTTGGGCACCTGTCCTGCACCTGTTGCTGGGCCACTCGGAGTCCCCCGCCTGGCCACCCAGTCATAGTGACAACAGGAAAGTAAACATTCCCCCACCCCCAGGGCTGGACAGTGGCCAGAGGAAGTGGGGCTGCCAGCAGAGCCCCTCCAGGCTGGGCCAGCCCGCCAGGGGCTATTTATACCCTGGCTGGGGGCATGGCTTGGACTGTGCCCTGACCCGTCCTGCTGGGCGGAGGAGCACTTTGGGGGCAACGCAGGGGCGGGGGAAGAGCTCAAGTGGGCATCTTTAGACAGCACCTGGACGGACGGAAGTTTTAGACATCTAGCGCCCAGGGACGCAGGCAGCCACAACCCCTACCCTCCACCCCTGCCTAGCTCGGCCCCATAATCTGGACCTTGCTTCTCTGCTGTGCCACAGCTCCCAGGGCCCAGCTCCAAGTCCCAGCTCCTAATCTGCTTCCAAAGCCTCAGCAATCCAGACTCCAGCTCCCTCTGAGAGAAAGGCAGGGGACAGATCTCTCAGCAGATTAGGAAACAGTCCCAGAAGCGGGGCAGCCCACTACCCCTGACCTGACATTCTGTCCCTGCACCCCTCAGTCTAACCCTGGGCAGAGGAGGCAGAGGGTGCCTCTGAGTCACCAAGCACCTACCATGTGCAGAGCCTGTGGTCACACGTCGTTTACAGGGGAGAACATGAGGATACAGGGCAGGGAAGTAACAGGCGTTGGGGGGGCGTGGGGAATGAGGAAGGAGAATGAATGAATTCCCACCCAGGTCCACGGATGAAGGGGAGGTGGCCTGACTGCCGGAAGAGCCAGGGCCGGAAGGTGACTCGCCCTGCGTCAACAAGCCGTATGACTCAGGACCCCCAGGATCCCTCCCAGTGGCCACGGGATATGGCGTCAATAGCTTCAGTGACATAGGACACTCTGGTATCACAGGACATGATGTGTTAGTTACTGTGGAAAGGATGGTGGGGGAAGGGAGCCCCCAGGAGGTCACACAAGGTGAGAAAGGGTTCATTTTATGGCATGGGCTTCATGACCCCAGGGTGGACACTCTGGGCCACTCAGCCTTGTTTTGTCCTCCTCACACTGACCTTAAATGTGACTCCGTGCGGGGGTCCTGCTTCATCTTGGAGGGCCGGACAGTGGCATTCCTCCAATTCCCACCCATCCTTCATGGCAGACGGCTGCCTTGTGAGGAGAGGATGGGAGGGTCCCCAAATCCCTCCCCAGGAGGCAGGCTTCCTCTAGATGCCACTGTCTCTTGGAGGGTGCCCACTCCATCCCTGCTACCCCATTTCTAACGCTGGGGTTGGACGCAGAGAGGGTGATGGGAAGGCAGGAGCTTCCTGTTGGCTTAGCGCCCCCCCATGCGGTTCCAGCGTGCCTGCCCACCCCTAGTCCACGGAAGAGGGCCTGCTCCTAAAGCACTCGTCCAATCTAGGCTGCAGAAGGGGGAACAAAGGCACAGAGGGATGGGAGGACGGCCCTGCCCTGTTAACCCACAGCCAGAGCACTCACAGTAGGAACCACTGGAACAAGGGCCTGTGACAGTCCTACGCCCCTGGCTGCAGGCTCCTCAGCCAAGTGCGGCTCACCTCAGGTCCCCAGATGAAGCAGAACCAGGATTCCGCCTGCCCCTCCCCCAACCCGAACACCACAGGGAAAAGGAGCCGCGTTGGGGCCGGAGCGGTTGAGTGGCCCTCAGGACCGTGCTGATACCGGCAGTGTCAGGAGGGGCTAGGACCTATGAGGCACAGCTCCCCTCTGGGGACTTAGGACTTAGGCCTAAGGTGGCCTCAGTGGGTAAGGGCGTGATGCAGACCTAGCCTGGCCGTGTCCTCAGACCGGTCCCCACCACTGCCCCACTTGTCCCAAGCCCAGCCCTACGGGAGCAGTGCCAGTGAAGGGGCTAGGGCACAACCAGGGGCTCTGTGGATGGCAGGGTAGACCTTGACCTTGGGGGACACAGGAAGACGTGTCTGGGTGATGCCTTCTGGGAAGGGCCCCCACACCCACTCTCTCACCCAGGCTGAGCCAAGGTTGGGTGGGGTGGCATCCGGGAAGGATTTTCCCGTCACCGGGAAGGAAGAGCTTATTCTGGCATCAGACACCTCATTTCCGCCTCAAGGCCTCTCTCAAGGCCATTAGACACTCAGGGTCCCAGTCCAGAAAGGCCTGGCCTCGGTCCAGAGGTAGGGACGTTCACAGTGCCCGGAGGCATAGGCCTGAGGGTGTCCATCTCTTCCTCCCTAGGAAGCAGTGGTTGACGCCTTACTTTAAAGGGCCTCAGGCCCTGAGGAGGCGTGTCCACAGCCCCTGCTCAAAACCCAGCTGGGCTGCCCCGCCCCCATTGTGGGTCTCCTGGACACCAGGTCTGAGGCCAGTGGAGCAGGAGCTGCTGCCAAAAGAGGGGTCTTGGAGCAGAGGTGGGCACCCCGCCCCCTTGGTTACAACCTCACAAAGCCGTGGGCCCTGACTGACAGCGCCATCTCCTCCAGCGGAGCTGGCGACGGGGTGATGGACAGGTCCCCGCAGCCCCGCTCTGACCTCTGACCCCATGTGGGCTGGTGGGGCCTAATCCCTGAGCTGCAGAGAAATAAGACTGCGGGGTGAAGGGAATGGGTGCCGACAGGGCTCTTTGTTCGTGCTTCTTCCACAGAAACACGTCCTGACCTTCCGACCTTCTGAGGGAAACTGAGGTAGACAAGAGCCTAGTAGCAGTGGCCATGACAAGAGCAGCAGGGCCCAGGCAGCGCCTCAACCTCTGTCACTCCCCCAAAGCTTTGAGGGGCCCCAGAGGCAGGCCTAGGGGCTGGACTGGCTCCCAGCCTAATCCTCTTTTAATGAGCGGCCAGCCGGAAGGCCTCAACCCCTGGCCACAGCCCTGCAACCCTGGGAGTCCCAGCCAGGCCAAGCAGGGGGTGGGGCGGCCTGGCGCACCTTCCCTTGCTCAGCACACCCACTTCACAACATGCCCTAAGGCTGAGCCCTCCGCTGCTGACCAGGCCAATCCCGGGCCCGTCATCTGCAGTAACACCTCCGGGCTTGCGTGGACCCTAGTCCCACAGCAGGCTGCGAGGGGAAGGCTGTCGTGCTGATTTCCCTTTCCTTCCTGGGTGTTCCGGATGGGAAGCACTAGAAGCCAGAAGCAGGATTTGCCTTGGGCTTAAACTGCCCCGTCCCTTGAGAAGAACATTCTAGGTTTCTCCGGCTGTCCTAAGCCGCTCGTATCTGCCCCTATCCCATCCCTGGCCGTGCTTTCCAGACCAAACACCCAGAAAGCTCCTCAGATGCTGTCCATAGGCCCCCTTCCCGCTACGCAGGTGAGCCAGGTTGGTGCCAACAAAACCAATTACAACCTGCTCTCACCCAATTAGCAACTAATTATGGCCTCATAGGCCATTCAACATAATTAACATGTAAATGACTCCACATGTTTATATTCCATAGCCATTCTGACTGAATTCAATTT